CCAAATACAGCTCCCAAAAGATGATAAGACTGATACGGCTCACATAAAAATGATAAGTTTGATACGGCCACATAAGAGGGATAAGACTGAAAAGGCTCACAAAACTGAAAAGGCTCACATAAACTGAAGGGGCCTCCAAAAGACTGAAAAAAATGTTTGGGCTCAAAAATAAATTGTTAAAGATGATATGGTTTCCTTTAAGACTGTTTAAGTCTCACATAAACTGTTTAAGACTGAAAAGGCTTACAAAAGAAGGATAAACTGTTTGGGCCCCCCAAAAAACTAAATAAGACTGATATGGCTCACTAAGGACGGTAATGCTGATATGGTAAACAAAAGACTGATAAGGCTGATTTTGGCTCACAAAAGGATTTGAAAAAAACGGATCAAAAATAAAAATGTTTAAGATGATAGGCTCAGATAAAGACTGATAACCCCTTTAACAGCTCACATAAGACTGAAAAGACTATAGGGGCTCCCCTTTAAGGGACTGATAAAAACTGTTTGGGTTCACATAAGACTGATATGGCTCCCCAAAAGGAATGAAAAGGGACGAAGGCCCCACATAAAAACTGATAAGCCTGATAAGCTCACATTAGAGGGAAAAGGGACTGATACGGATCACTTTTTAAGACTGAAAGACTGATACGCCACATATGACTGTTTAAGAGGATAGGCTCACAAAAGACTGAAAAGGGACGGATAGGGTTTCCCATAAGAGGGATATGGCTCACAAAAGGGACAGTAAGCCCTGATATGGCTCACATAAAAATGATAACCCTTTTCCCCTCAATAAGAGGATCCGACTGATAGGGCTCACATAAGACGGGGATAAGAATGATACGGCAAAAATAAGACTGATAGGGTTTCACAAAAGATTTGATAATGCTGATTGGCTCACATAAATGATAAGAATGATACGGCTAACATAAGACTGATAAGTCTCACATAAGACTGATAAGACGATAGGTTAAAAAGACTGATAAACTGTTTGGCCACATAAACTGTTTAAGAGATAGGGCCACTTTAACTGAAAATGGGGATAGGGGCTTACATAAGACGAAAAGATATTTTGGCTCACAAAAGGGACTGAAAAGCTGTTTATGGCTAAATTTAAAAACTGATAAGCCGGGAAAACAGCTCACTAAGACTAAAAAGGCCCTCACAAAAGACGATAATGATAGGGGTTCACTTTAAGACTGATAGGGCTCACATGGGGGACTGATAGACTGATAGGCTCCCAAAAGGCTGAAAAACCCTGATCCCGCCCCCAAAATTAGACTTGACGATGGGCCCTTACTAAAAATGAAAAGACGACGGGCTCCAAAGACTGATAAGATTTGATAGGGCCCAATTTAAAATGTTTATGGCTCACAAAAGACTGAAAGACTAAATTTTGTCCAAAAGACTGAAAAGCGATAGGGGTTTCACAAAAAGGACGGATAACTGATTGGCTCACTTTTAAGGACGATTGGTCAATAAGACTGAAAAGACTGATACGGCTCAATAAGACTGATAAGGAATAACGGCTCACAAAGACTGATTGGCTCCAAAAGACTGAAAGCATGTATGGCTCACAAAAAGACTGTTAAGACTGATAGGGTTTTCCATTAAGACGGATACGGCTCACAAAGGACGATAAAAATGTTTGGCTCACAAAAGACTGATAAGACTAAAATTAAACTATAACGGTTTCCGATAAGACTGATAAGCCTGAAAAAGCTCAAAAAAGAGGATAAGACGGGTACGGCCCCCTAATTCTGAAAAGCTGAAAAGGGTAAACAAAAGTTTATAAAAATGTTTCCCTAAAATAAGACAAATATGTTTCACAAAAGGTGATAAAAACTGAATGGCTCCCCTAAAATGTTAAGACTGATATGGCTCACATAAGACTGATAAGACTGATATGGCTCACATAAGACTGATAAGACTGATTTGGTTCACATAAGACTGATAAGACTGATCTGGTTCACATAAGACTGATACGGCTCACATAAGACTGATAAGACTGATATGGCTCACATAAGACTGATAAGACTGATATGGCTCACATAAGACTGATAAGACTGATACGGCTCACATAAGACTGATAATGCTGATACGGCTCACATAAGACTGATAAGACTGATACGGCTCACATAAGACTGATAAGACTGATACGGTTCACATAAGACTGATATGGCTCACAAAAGACTGATAAGACTGATATGGCTCACATAAGACTGATAAGACTGATACAGCTCACATAAAGACTGATAAGACTGATACGGCTCACATAAGACTGATAAGGACTGACACGGGTTTCACATAAGACTGATAGGCTCACACAAGACTGATAAGGACTGATATGGGCTCCCATAAGACTGATAAGACTGATTACAGCTCACATAAGGACTGATACGAATGATACGGCTCACATAAGGACTTGATAAGACTATACGGCTCACATAAGACTGATAAGGTAACTGATATGGCTCACATAAGACTGGATATGGCAAAAAAAGACAGACTGTTCACGACCTGATATGGCTCCACATTACAGCTGATAAGACTGATATGGCTCACATAAGACTGATAAGACTGATATGGCTCACATAAGACTGATATGGCTCACATAAGACTGATAAGACTGATACGGCTCACATAAGACTGATAAGATTGATTTGGCTCACATAGACTGATAAGACTGATATGGCTCACATAAGACTGATAAGACTGATATGGCTCACATAAGACTGATAAGTCCGATACAGCTCACATAAGACTGATAAGGCTCACATAAGACTGATAAGACTGATATGGCTCACATAAGACTGATATGGCTCACATAAGACTGATAAGACTGATACGGCTCACATAAGACTGATAAGACTGATACGGCTCACATAAGACTGATAAGATTGATTTGGCTCACATAAGACTGATAAGACTGATATGGCTCACATAGCTTCAAAAAGACACGTATAGTTGAAGCTGATATTAATGATTTTCCTTATCCCCTTTTGATGTTGTCATTTTTCATAATGTAAAAACTGTCTGTCTGTAGTAGAGATCTACAGATTCCCATATTCTGCAAATTCATTCAAAACGTGTGACCTAAATTGAGAATAAAGAAGAAATAGTATGCTTAATAACAGAGTGATGCTACATAAAAAGTTAACTGCCAGTTTGAAACAATTTAGATCCAACCAGCTATCAAGTTCTTGTTCCCATGATAATCTTTCAAGGTGTTTAAAGTAGTATTGAGTGATGCTGGCTTTGTCCCCTCCTTCCTTAACCACACACACACACACACACACACACACACACACACACACACACACACACACACACACACACACACACACACACACACACACACACACACACACACACACACACACACACACACACACACACACACACAGGCATTTGCTTGGACCCAGTCCCCAGCCCTCAGCACTCTGAGGGGGTCAGCTCAGATCAAAGGTGCTGGTCACAGCCATTAGGCCCAGCAGCGAAGACCCAACATGAAAAGCTTGTGTTTTGAAAAGGAGGGCAGAGAAAAAAAAACATCAGGGACCTCTCCATTTAAAAGGCAAACTGTGAAATAACTGAAAAGGTATGTCAATCAAGAGCAAGCGCCCAGTGGGAGCGCCACGATTCCCAGGCTCTCTCCTGGTCGAGCACCGGGCCATGGAGGGCTGCTGAAGGGGGCAACCCAAGAAATCTTTCATTCGATTCTCCTCCTCCCTTATCCCCTGCTTTTTAATTGTGATGGGAGGGAACGTCCGTCCGTCCCCCGTCCCCCCGACCCCCAAGTCCAACAAAAAGCTCAGTCATTAATAAGATCTTGTCTCTCCTCCACCTCTCAGGTAAGTAACAAAGAGTTATTGGGGGACGGAGGGGCAAGTTGGAGTCGACATAGTTTTATGACCCCCCCCCCCCTTTTTATTACCAGCCCCTACACCCTGTACCCACTCCCTCCTCCTCCCATAGCATTTGTCTGACAAAAGGAACCCCGTGAGAGTCTCTCGCTTTCCTTTCTGCGTTTTTCTTTCAAGGTCAGAAAAGGCTGAATGATCTGACAAGGGGCTCACTTCCAAAAAAGGGGGAAGGAAAGAAAAGAGAAAGAGTAAAAGACGACTGGGCAAAAGGCTCCTTCTATGCTTTAAAATCCCATAGAGGATAGAAAAATGGTCGGTCCACACTTGACTAGTCCTGTATAGGGATTTGCTTGTAATAGCAGCTTCAGCTTATTAACAGCTCTGGCCAAAACATGTCAAAGGTTAACAGATCCTGCCAAGGGTAAGAAAGAAGCTAAACCTACCTGTCTCATCAACAGAGCAGATTAAACACAGCAGAGAGTGGGTTATAATAAACATCATGATTACAAATAGCTACCTTTTCTTTCAACACTAGTTCCTTTATCGCATGTGCACATGTAATAATTGGTTTACATGCAATAATTGGTTAATATTGCATTGAAAAAAGCAGAAACACTCATTGCATAAATATGACACACCATATTGTCACACATTACATATGGGTCTAATGTGAGTACTCATGGTCATTAGCCTTAACACGATGAGGTCTAATGAGGTCTATTTGAAGCCTGATATCAAAACGGTCGTCCATACAAAACCATTCTCACACGTGAGATATCCACGTTCCTGCATTTGATACCTCAGGGAAAAAGTAATTGTAACCATGCCATCCACTCCACGCTTTTAGTACATACTGCAATCTACATATCAGAGTGAGGCTCATGATAGCACCTACTGTGCCTGGAGCTCAGAGCAGCAAATAATGGCAATTAGAGGCAGCAGCACTTTCAGGCACCAGCGGTTTTCAAGTCCCCATAAACCCATGGTGAGCACCAATCACCATCCTGCCTGGGCCTAATTGCTTATGAGTCGCTTGCACGCTCCCTGCCACCGTAACGCCCAGTGTTTGTAAACACAGCTCGTAAAGGGGACGTTGCCATCAAAGTGCTAACGTGCCCTTGAAGAATCAGAGGGATGGGGATGGGGGTGCAGCTGGATGGATTGGTACCTGCCTGGCCTGGCTGGCTGACTGGCCCTGGGCTGGCCTCACCACTGCAGCTGAGTGGAGAAGGGGGCTTCATGTACACACACATGTCAGAGAAGAAAGACACTCAACAGGTCGTCTATGTATTTACCCTCTCTGTCTCTCTGTGTTTGTCTGATGTGGATGACCTCACCTGGTAAGCATGGATAGTGGTGGTAGCAGCTGTGAGTCTGTGTATCGCTCCATGGTTCAGGAAGGAAAGAGAAACTGACGCTGTCTTTGGTTGTCTTATCTAGTGCATGGTTTCACAATGTCACTTGTTGATTTCACCTGAATAAGAACTTCCCCTGATCTTAAGTGTCCTTAAGACCATTACCCTTCTCTGTTATATAAGTGATAATGCCTGTGAGGCCGGTGTTTGGAGGATATATTGGCACGGGTGTTGCAAACCGTGCCAATATATCCTCCAAACACCGGCTTCTACGGCATTATCACTTTCATACAATAGGTTACCAACATATTCAAATAATGATTGACATATAATTCAGCAATAAGGCCCAAGGGGATGTGGTATATGGCCAATATACCACAGCTAAGGGCTGTTCTTAGGCACAATGCAACGCGGAGTGCCTGGATACGGCAATATACCACAAACACCCGAGGTGGGTTATTGCTATTATAAACTGGTTACCAATGTAATTAGAGCAGTAAAAATACATTTTTGTCATACCAGTGGTATTCGGTCTGATATGCCACAGCTTTCAGCCAATCAGCATTCAGGGCTCGAATCACCCAGTTTATAATACTCTTTTTTTTTTTTTTTACATATTAAGCCAACCCTTGCTCCGAAGTACAGCTTTTTCCTCATGTCTTTCCAAACAAAGTCTGATTTACATAAATAAATGGGGGAAAGATGGCAGTGGCGGGAGAGTAACACCTGCTCGTACCCTGGTGAGCGCGTTCATTTTTCATCGCTGGATGGGTTTAACCAGCGTCCCTACTTGGAAACCTACTCGCTGCCCCCTTCAGCACATGTGGTTCTGCATGAGCAGCGCTGCATCACTGGTCTGGGCGCTTCGCGAGTTTACGGCTCCTACTTAATTTCCTACTGTAGTCCCCTGTAGCTCAGTTGGTAGAGCATGGCGCTTGCAATGCCAGGGTTGTGGGTTCGTTTCCCACGGGGGGCCAGTATGAAAATGTAAGTCGCTCTGGATAAGAGTGTCTGCTAAATGTCAAATGTACTGGAACGAGGTCCACATCTCCTTCAGCACCTTGATGTGTTACTGTGTTTACAGGCCCTGTCCAAAGGCAACAGATTGTTGTTAGCCTCATTTCCTTTTTCAGCAACATTCAGAGGTGCCCATAAGAGGAGAAAATAACAGCATGTTTCTCAAGATTTTTTCTCCTCCAAAAATGGGTTTCCATGGCTTGTGATGTCTGTTGGGAGGGATGTGTACTCAGATCTGATAGCAGGCCACATCAGGGTGCCTTTGAAGGTAAGACAGAAGGAGTTCTCCAAGGGAGCTGCGGATCCAGCAATTAGGTCCTATTCAGGCCCCCGTGGTAAGACCCACAGGTCATCTCCAAAACATTTCTGTCTATCACCATGACAATGGCTAAGGGCTTTTTGTGTAGACTAAAACCAGATCAAGACCAAGCCACATGGCATTTGTTTGCAATCAGTGCCCAGAGGAAACAATTAGCCTGCAGCACTGCCAGGTCTTTCATTGACAAATGGGTAAGAGGTTGGTGTAAGTGGCCATCAGACCCTGCTTTGTGTCTCCCTGGTAAACAACACCGGGCATCATCTGGGTGGAGTGTCAGTGTTTGGTCTGGGATGATGGCACTCCCTCCCTGTCCAGACGGGGACCCAGCCCATAATACTCTTTGTGATGTATGCTACAGTCAGTCTACTGAGAGGGTTTAGATACAGTGAGCTCGGGAAAATGTTGTCTGGCTCAGAATTCATTAAAAGACTGGGAGTTCTCATTTCATTGCATAAATCACACCGTACTTCCAGACACAGAATAATTTTTATTTTATTTAATTTTTTGATCTTCCCTCTTGAATATTGTTTATGATATGTTTTTGAAATGGCTGATTTGAATCATATCACTGTATTTCTGAATGATGACACAGCCTATTTTCAAATGTATTTGTGTCTCTGCAGTCTAGTAGTTCCCAGTGAGCCGATTGTTGAGGAACTGGGTTGTAGATGTCTCTTCACAAAGGGAATCATTTAAATGGGCCACTGTGCATATCCAGTTTTTTTTCTCTCTTGTCTTGGGAAAAACCTTCCCCCAGAGCATATGCCCGTCTGGTTTCCTAATCGGTAATGATAGAGTGGCTTATGATGGAAAACTCCCCTGTTCTAACAGAGACTCCTGTTCCTTATTTTTCAGGTCTAATGGAAATCCGATCTGTCAGTGTGGGAGTCGTCGCCATCAAATCAGTCAGCACCGGGCTGTACTTAGCCATGTCCAAAAAAGGCACACTCTTTGGATCGGTAGGTACACCTTGCAACATTCTTTCATGAGACACCATGGGCGGCCAGGTTCTAGCCAGGGGAGCCTGATGTTTCCTCCAAACACAGATCATTCCATTCAAGTGAGTCTTTGAGGTCTCCACTAGGCAAATCCACAGCAGGCCAGAGTTTAAAGTTTCAAGTTTTAATAGTTGCAATATCAATCATGGCTATACACCTGGGCCCAGCCTGATAATAGCTGCAGGTGATGCTCGCATGCAAGTCTTGAAGAGAGGCTTGTTCCACTGTCAAAATACTGCAGATGGCCAAGAAATGGAGGCTGAACTAAGATGACAACAGAGGCAGATGTGACGGTCTTGCGTGCCGTCTGCCAGTTGTTGTGCTCACACACAGCTCTCTCGTTCTTTCCCTCCCTCTCTTTCTCTCTCTCTTTCTCTCTCTCTGTCATGTAATGAGGCTGCCTATGGCGTGGTATCTAAGTGTTTTACAGCTCAGCGAGAGAGAGAGAGAGAGAGAACTCTGGAGCTGGCAATTAGTCAGTACTGTGAAGCTGTGATGAGTTGCAGACCATTATTTCACCCTGCCACCAGCATAAACAGGACATAGATGAACTCACTCAGCCTCCAAGAGCCTCCCCATTCACCTCCCACTGAAACCTCCCTTAATGACCATTAAGCAGGAGAATCACGCTGGGCTGATGCTATCTCCATAAGGGCCCTGTGATCTCAGCCTGATAGTGGCATGTAGAGGGGACTGCTCCAGAATCTCTTTTCATGGTCATATATTTTACGTCATACCTACGTACAGTTAAGAAGCTCCAACCACCCATGGCAAAGAGGAGAGGGCTTTGTTGGCTAGGCTGTGCCTGTATATTGACACAAATCCCTGCTTCTGTTCTTTGCCTCAGAAGTGGATCAAGGAAGAGATTACAATCAGATAGATGACAATCAAAACATTTTACATAGCAGATTAACGCTTCATTATCATCCGATTATCTGCTAAAAATACATGTTTTTATATTGTTATATCTTCTTGGCCATGATCCAACCCTCCCTCCCCTGCAGGTGAAGTACAACCCTAACTGTAAGTTCAAGGAGCGCATCGAGGAGAACGGCTACAACACGTATGCCTCCCTGCGCTGGAAACACGGCGGCAGGCAGATGTTCGTATCTCTGAACGGCAGGGGGAAGCCCCGGCGAGGTCACAAAGCCCGGAGGAGACATCCCTCCACTCACTTCCTCCCCATGCTGCCCTTATAGCTGGACAACTGGACTCATGCTCTGCAGCCAGTCCCTCCTACTAGTGTTGTGGTTATCAAGATAACTATGAATACAATTATGATGATGATGATTATTATATCCATACCCTCTCCCATATATGTACATTTGTTGGGGTTGTATAAACTATTTTGTTTGTCGAGATCGCCTTGGGGGCATAATACAGTAAGTTTAAGTTATTCAACCCCCCCCCCCCTTTAGTGTAAGGTCCAGAAATAAAGCTGCTAATATTGTGTAAACAGTATGTCTATTATTATTATGATCGATTATCAAGCCAAGGGATAATATTGATGATGCTCTTCTGTGTCAAGGAGTCATTTTGACACCACCGTCCTCTGAGAAAGTGTGTAATTGAAACATATCCTCCCTCTAAAGGGTACGAGTATTGTATATATATATTGCCCCCCCCCCCCTTAATGACCTTAAAATATGCTGTTAAAGCAATGGACTGCCGATGTAAAAGAAACTTGACAAACGGTGAACAGGACATTGATTTAGGTTGTCAAATATGTTCATCTGAGCAAGAGAGAGGATTCTCTAAAGATACTGAAAGGCCTTTACAATCAATGCTGCAAAGGACTCTGCACTTCAGTGGACTTCATACAGAGGGGACAGAATTCCATGTTGACGAAAACGTTTGGACTTATGTACATTGATACCCATGGATGTCTGCTGTAAGACATGGCTAGTTTCAAGTTTCAAGTTTTATTATTCGTATGTACAGGATACGCACAGTATACATCATCCAATGAAATGTTCCTTGCAGGTTCCTTCTCGACAACGCAACAACAATAAGAAATAATAAAATATAAGAATACGAACAAAGTAAATGGCTCAGTAGAATAGAATAAACATAGACTAGAAGGCTATCGGGTCTTCTGGGTTTCTGAAAGGAACTTGTGAGCGTTGCAGAAGTGTACTTTAGCCTCCTTCTTTCATCCAATAATCCTAGACCACTAGCTCAGGGCTCAATCTTTGAAAGTGGGACTCACGACATTGTCTCTGATATGTTAGTTCCAGAATTCAGTAGATATGTTAGTTCCAGAATTCAGTAGATATGTTAGTTCCAGAATTCAGTTGACATGTTAGTTCCAGAATTCAGTAGATATGTTAGTTAAATGCATATGGTACTCCCTTTGTTGTATCATAGGAGGTCGGTGGCACCTTAATTGGGGAGGACAGGCATGTGGTAATGGTTGGAGCGGAACAGGTGGAAAGGTATCAACAACATCAAACACATGGTTGCCATGGTTTCCATGTGTTTGATGCCATTCCATTTACTCCGCTCCATCCATTATTATGAGCCATCCTCCCCTCAGCAGCCTCCACTAGGTTGATAGGACTTAACCCATTAATTTTGTACGTATGGTAGCTGGTTTTCGCATTATCTTGTCATGTCTTGCTAACATTTTGAAAAACCTGCTGCAAATAGAACTTTTAATATATTTAAACCTTTTTGTACCGTATAACATTTGAAGTTGATGTTATTGTCTCCATTTTGTGTCTAGTTCAAAATCCTAATTGTATTCCAGTCCATATTCTAGTCTAAACTGTATGTTACTGCAATATGGCACCTCCTCCCACTGCAACCATCATCTGAATGGTCAGCAATGAGGATCTACAAGAACACCTGTTTCAACTATTAGTCAGCTATTAGGTAGTCTGTCAATTGAATTCTGTCATCAAAACAACATTAGTGAGTGTCTTGGTTCGTGTTCAGCTTGAACGTCAATAAAATGCACCTAAATTACCCAATGTTCAAGGAGTCACTTATGCTAACATGCTCAACATCTCTTCAGTTAGCTACATTCAAAAAGAGGGACCTTTTTGCCTCTCATGTAATGTACTGTACTTGCCTTGATTGTTTTGCGTTGTCAGCATCTCCATCAGAGTTACATAATCTGCATCATCATCATCATCATCATCATCATCATCATCATCACCACATGAACATTCACAGCGGGAGTGGATTTGATGTAGTGTGCCTCCCCTGTCTTGTGAAAGACTTGTGCTGATGAGCTCTTCAATGGGCTATCATGGTTCTTTAATTACGCTGAAGGCCTGGTAGAATGGGAGGCTATAGAATCTTTTCACCCTGCGGACTGCAGAGATGGGGATGAATGGCCTCTATTGGGGGGAGAAAGGCTAGCTTTTCAGCCTGTCATAATGTGAAATTGTTTTGATGGGCAACATGTCTATTCAAAACAGCTTTATGTCGCGCTGCCGTTCGATCCAAAGGTCTGCCAAACAATTGGATGTGGGTGTGAGGGTCTAGGGAGACTGAGTGTGCAATTATTATAATAATTTTTTCTTACAGTTTTACATATTTTGAGCTGAAGACGTGGCCAAGGATTACTTGTGTCTTAGTGGGGGAAGTTTCGGCTGCGACACCATCTGAATCTTTAAAGTGCCACATGCCCAATCTATAGGGTCTCACAAGAAACAGCTGAAAGCTGTATTTTACTGACAGTTAAGTGGGGAAATAAAGTTTAGTAGACAATAGACAGATGTCATATACTGTAAGTGTAGAAGTCTAGTTTTGCAGGTGTTTCTCGACTAATGCGTCCTCGTTTATCCTTCAGCAGGCACAGGAACTCTTTGAAACATGCAAACCCACAAAGTAAAGTAATCCCATTTTCTGCCTGTTCTGTTGAATGGCTCGCCTCATCATCAAAGTGTCTCCACCTCTCCACCTCTCCACTCGTCCAAGAGTCCAATAATTTCTCCTTTTCTTTCTTGGCTTTAAGGTGAGGCTGCCTGTTTATGCCAGACCCAGCTCAGAGCACAGGGACACTAAATGGGAGTCTGTAATTATTATTGTTCCTCTACTGTCCTGTCAGTGCACTCACCAGCAAAACAAGAGGGATCCCTTGGCAGCGCTCATCAAAGCAATCGACTTTGATCAAAAACGCAGTGCAAAATCAAGGTGAAATGCTCCAAACATATTACAAGGGAATGGATATCCTTCCAAAGGACATCTCCCACTCCCCCTATACTATGGCCTGTTAATGCCATATGCACAGGTGCTTGTTCCTAAATATAGGGTTTGTCTGATCAGCTGTGTCTGAACAGAGGACTGAGAGACCTACAGAGAGAGTCATGCAATGTTGTTGTGAAAAAAGTCTGCACCACCACATTTTTAAGAGATTGATCAGTTGCTATGTGTCACTATGCAATGTGTTGATGCACTCATATAGGGTGGTTCCAGAGTTTGGCAAAGGGCATAGAAAATATAAGCAATATCAGTTAGTGGTCTATATTTGAAATTGACCCCATAGTAATGCATAGCTGCTCAGTGTTCTAATGATTTGTCCTGAGTCTTTACAGCAGAGCTCTGTATTGACCTCACAATGTTAGGGCAGTACTGTGGGAATTATTCCAACCCCCAACAGTGAATTTTATTATCAATTTTTCTGTCTATTACCCTATTTTACAGACACATACTGTATGTATATTTTACAGACACATACTGTATGTATATTTTACAGTGTCACGCCCTGACCTATAGAACTCTAGTTTGTTGAGTCAGGGTGTGGAAATCTATGTTATATATTCTATGTTTATGTTCTAGGTAAATTATACATTTACATCATCACTTGGGAGTATAAAAATCACTTTTGACGTACAGTGCTTTGCAACCAACAACTTACCGCTGGTTTGGTGCTTGTTCACTGGGACGATTCTAACTGAAACATCCTCCCTCGTAAGCAAGCTACGCCAACCAGCCAATAAGATGCCATGTTGAGTAGGTGAAGGCAAGAAAAAACCAAAAACCCATTGGCTTAACAATAAAGTGGCAAGGGGAATCACCAATATAACCCTGTTACACCCAGGCTGGGCACTGCGTTTAGTCCTGCTCCAGAGATGGAGATGGATACGGGTCCGGAAGTTTGCTCCACTCCGGAGCCAGAGCAGTCCACTCCACCGGGGTCCAGACCAGCTCCGGTCAGCGGTTCCACTCCGGAGCCAGAGCAGTCCGCTCCACCGGTGCCCAGTCCAGCACCGGTCGGCTGCTCCACGCCAGAGCAGTCCGCTCCACCGGGGTCCAGTCCAGCGCCGGTCAGCGGCTCCACTCCGGAGCCAGAGTAATCCGCTCCACCGGTGCCTGATCCAGTTCCGGTCAGCGGCTCCACTCCGGAGCCAGAGCAATCCACTCCACCGGTGCCTGATCCAGCTCCGGTCAGCGGCTCCACTCCGGAGCCAGAGCAGTCCGCTCCACCGGTGCCCAGTCCAGCTCCGGTCAGCGGGTTCCACTCCGGAGCCAGAGCAGTCCGCTCCACCGGTGCCAAGTCCAGCTCCGGTCAGCGGATCCATTCCGGAGCCAGAGTAGTCCGCTCCACCGGTTTCCAGTCCAGCTCCGGTCAGCGGTTCCACTCCGGAGCCAGAGCAGTCCGCTCCACCGGGGGACATTTCAGCTCCGGTCAGCGGCTCCACTTCAGACCCAGAAGTCAGCCCCTCTCCAGGGTCGGGGCCTCCCACACCAGGGTCCAGACAGGGCTTGGTGCATCGCGGGAGGATTGCCAATCCAGGCCCAGATGTCAGCCCCTCTCCAGGTTCGGAGTCTCCCACACCAGGGTCCAGACAGGGCTTGGTGCATCGTGGGAGGAAGGAGAGGGGAAGCATCGCGCCGAGGTCCAGACCAGACCAGGGGCGCAACAAGGAGGCATAGAGGGAGAGGTCGTCACGCCCGGAGCCGGATCCGCCTCCGAGGCTGAAAGCCCACCCGGACCCTCCCCTGTCTTGTCAGGTTTGTGCGGCCGGAGTCTGCACCTTTGGGGGGGGGGGGGGGGGGAACTCTAGTTTGTTGAGTCAGAGTGTGGAAATATATGCTAGAAATTCTATGTTTATGTTCTAGGTATTGTATTTCTATGTTTGGCCGGGTGTGATTCCCAATCAGAGACAGCTGTCGCTCGTTGTCTCTGATTGGGGATCATACTTAGGTAGCCCATTGCCTACTGTGTATTGTGGGATCTTGTTCCGTA